GAGAGAGAGAGAGAGAGAGAGAGAGAGAGAGAGAGAGAGAGAGAGAGAGAGAGAGAGAGTCAATTCAGACTGCCAAAGCGTGTGTGGAGGGGCGTTGGAGAGGCAGGGTGTTTATGTGGGAATGACGGAGAAGGTGAAGGGGGGAGAGAGAAAGACACAGAGTGAGATGTACTGAGAATTTGGAGCCAATTCAGGCTGCGCCCTGGGTCTGGCTCACTCACAGAGGCTCTCATGAGCTAGAAGAGCTCCCGTTAGGGGCTCCGTTTACGTACCCTTAGGTACCGTGAGTACCCTGCCATGCAGTTAAAAACCGTTAGCAGAGAATACTAGCGTGTAGGAGAATACTAGTGAGGACTACCTTCTTCACCCGAATACAACGTACAGTCATTATGGCTGTATTTAGAGGGAAAGATACCCCAAATACAGCTATAATGACCGTACGTCGTATTCGGGTGAAGAAGGTAGTCTTCCCCCAAACATAACACCACACCCTCATTATGATATGACTGCATCTGGCCGGTAAGATGACCTGTATACATTCATGATCGGGGTCAGTCGTTTTCAGGGGGGGGCAGATGGTAGGCCAAAGCTTTCTCTTTTGTGTGAACTTGAGACTCACAAAAGGAGTTAATTTTCGTTGATGCCAACAAATATGTATGTGCAGGTGGATCGCAAAGATGCAATCATTCAAATGCTCAATAGGGACCTGGAGGAAGGTAACCTCTTTTTTTTTTTTTTTTTTTTTTCACATTGCAGTCGTCCAGCTCCAGCCCCAACACTTCCAAAAGGGAAAGTTTTCCTTTTTCCCCTTTCTTTTGCGCCATGCAAAATGAAAAGGACTTTCGTCTTCTGAAGTTTTTGTTTGCCAAAAAAAAAAAAGTTTTTGCTTGCACCGTGCAGAAAGGAAAAAAAACTTTCCCATTTCCTTGCATGGTATATTTCCCTTCTTTTCTTTTTTTTTCCCCTCCCTTCCCTTTTTTCGTAAAAACACTTTCCCTTTTTTTTTTTCACAAAAAAAAAAAAAAGAGAGAGAGAGAGAGAGAGAGAGAGAGAGAGAGAGAGAGAGAGAGAGAGAGAGAGAGAGAGAGAGAGAGTACCGTTTTTGATATACACTACACTTAGGGCATAATCACACTACAACTTTTCGACCGGTTTGTAGACGTAATTGCGGTCAAGATGCATCCAGGCGCGGCCGTGATTGCACTCAGACATACATCTCTGGAATCTCTGGCAGTCCCACTGTGATTACGCTCTTGTTCACTTGCCTTTTTTTTTTTTGGTTTTGGCTCTTCACTGCATCTCCTGAGAGGATGTGGAATCCGCCCATCTATTTACAAGTGCGTGATGCGGCGTCGGGAACGGCGGGGGGCAAATGAGTGCGGCGGAAGGGGGGATTGCTGAAGAATAATGAAGAAGGATAACCGATGATGGAGAAGTAGAAGAGGAGGAAAGAATGAAGAAGAAGAAGAAGAAGAAGACGAAGAAGAAGAAGAAGAAGAAGAAGAAGAAGAGAGGAGGAGGAGGAAGAATAAGGAAGGTGGGGGGACGGGGAAGTGAAGAGGGGATGGGTCGTACGGCTGGGCGGATGCGCAAGGAGAGGGGGGAGCGGTGCGGGGAGGCGCGATTGGCGAGGGTAGGCAGGATTCGGGCGGCGGGGAGGAGGCGCCATTGATGATGAGGGGAGCAGGAGGAAGAACAAAGAACAAGACAAACAAGCAAGAAAGGAGATGAAGTAGAATGGAGAAGAAGAAGAAGAAGAAGAAGAAGAAGAAGAAGAAGAAGAAGAAAAAGAAGGAAACGGGGGGGAAAGGGGCGAGGGGCCGTACGCGGCGGGATTGAGGGAAGGGTGGCGCGATTTCGGGCGGGGCAATTTGAGGCGGCGCCATTTTGGACAATGAGAGGGTAAAGGGCAGCGCGTTGAGCGGAGGCGTGATTGGAGTAGAAGGGACTCGCCATAGGGGAAGGGATCGCACCGGAAGGAGGAGGTGGATTGATGGTGAAGATGATGATGACGATGATGAGGAATGATGAGGAAGAAGAACAGATCAAACAAAGCAGACATGAAGGAGAAGGAAGAATGAGCATGAAGGAGAGAGCCGTGAGATTCATTATGGTGCTGGTGGTGGTGATGATGATGATGATGATGATGATGATGATGATGATGATGATGATAACAAAGTAAAGGAAGAAGAAGGAAAACAAAAAAGCGGAAGAATGAAGCAGAAAGAAAAAAGAACAAACAAGAGACAAGGAAAAAATAAAAAGATAGAAACAACAACGGCAAAAGAAGAAGAAGAAGAAGAAGAAAACAACAACAACAACAACAACAAAGAAGAAGAAGAAGAAGAAGAAGAAGAAGAAGACGAAGAAGGTCGGTGATGAAGAACAGGTGGGCAAGGTTGAAGCGTGGAGAACTTACCACGTGGCGTCCAGGGAATGGCTCGCAATCGCGTGGGTAGGTCGATTTCGGCGTCAGGATGGGGTGCGTTCACTATGGGGGTAGGGGATCATCACGGGTAGGGGGCAGGCAGGCAATAGGCAGTTCAAACGCTTTTCCTTTTGTAAAATATCCGTTGTACCCCCGAAAGTAAATGGCATCTCGGCTGTGGCCCCGAAAAAGTGCGCACCCCTTCAGTTGCACCCAAGGAAAGGAATTGGGCACCGGAACTTTCTGTAATACCCAGGGGGGCACATTTGGGACCAGTAGCACCCCCGTAATTAGGGTTGGAACAGGGCACGATTGAAATTCTACAGACAGGTAGGAAACCTTTTTATTCCCTGGTAAATGGAATGGCCCCAGGGCCACAACTGAAAGTGGTGCTTTCTTGGGGACCTGGCTGAAGAGCTGTTTCCCCTCAGGGGTATGAGGGATATTTGCCCCCTCTTTTTTTTGCCCTTTTGACAAACCAGTTGCACCTGTCTATCTGTCAGGAGTGGCACCTAGGCCCTGGCCCCAATAACTACAGTCTTCACCCGAAAATAACGCCCGGGCTTTGTATATGAATATAACGCCGACTGGCCGTTATATTAGTTTATAGCGCACAGGCGGTATATTCAGTAAATTGGTGGCAACTACGGCAGGGCCCCAAATTTTTGAAAAAAAAAAAAAAAAATTCTGTAAAAAAAATATGTTGTTGCGACCAACTTTTCCTTTTTTATTTTTTTGGAGAAACATAGGGCTTTTCATTCCAAATGAGACCACCAGGGCCTGGGAACACACCCCTACATATCAACCCGGTACAAACTTGCTGAGGTCATACTCAGCTTAGGCTCCTGGAAACCGGGTCCAGTGTCCCTTGAAGGAATCTCCAAAAAGAAAAATGCAAAGCAAATCTATGGCAGTACAATATCCTTGCTACTCAGGAAAACACCGGCATGTTTCTAAAATCGAAGCACTAATGGCAAAGAATTTTACGAGCTATAAACCACAAATCTCAAAAGTGCACAATGCAATTCACTAAAATTGTTTCCAAGAGCATGCTAAATTCTTAGATACAGAACAATTCTAAAGTTCAGTCCAAGTGCGTACGAAACTAATCTTAACCGAGTTGAAACTAATCTTAACTGAGTTGAAACTGGGCGAATTAATATTGTCTACAGAGAACAGAGGATTGAAAACAGCCCAGAGAACGGCCACATATTACGAATCCAAGGGAATTCAAAGGGAGGGAGAGATGGATAACCGCGCCCACAGAATATACAGAGTGGGGAAGATATGAGCCAGGTTTTCCAGATGGCACAAAGTCGAGCGGAAGACACTCCCCACACCACTCAAGGCATGGGTGACCCTGTGTCCCTGAACCTGCCCTTGGAGATCAACCACTCTTGAAGAGTGAACATCATTGTGTCTCTAAACGCGGTTAGGGCTGGAAAATGGGGAGGGACAGATGGATAACCAGCCCACAGATTATACGAGTGGGGAAGATGTGAGCCGGATTTTCCAGATGGCACACAGTCGAGCGGAAGACACTCCCCACGCCACTCAAGGCATGGGTGACCCTGTGTCACTGGTCCTGCTCTTGGAGGTCAGCCACTCTAGAAGGTGAACGTCACTGTGTCTCTAAACGCGGTTTATGGCTGGAAATGTTTAACTCTTTGCGCCCGGGAAACGTTCCCACCGGCACTAGTGAGTCTCCCACTCCCGCTGATGGCGCCACCGCCCATAGGACTTCAGGGCTTTACGTACCCAGCAGACGTCTCGTCCGTTCGTCATTGTCACTATTTTGGGTAGCACCGCTACTAGCATTGCCCAAGACGCCGAGCGTGCCACCCTGTGGTATTTACTCAAACAGTTACTGAAAAAGCTAGGAAATTAAACGAGCATGATCAAACCCCACTTTAATAAACTAATAGAAAACACAACAAGAAGGAACCAACTCTGAATAACAGAAAAAAAAAAAAAAAAAAAAACCATCACCTAGAGTACATCCTCCATGAAATCCATAACGAAATACAGGAACCAAGTGCCTAATACGTATGCCTAATACATAGATCTTTGAGCGACAGATAGAACAGGTTACAATGAATCTATCCTAGGTACAAGCCATAAAGTTTGGCACTTCGAGTCTGCTATGTGATAGTAATTGGCGAGACGGCGGAGAAGTCTGGAGGTACGTGACACAAAGTTTCTCCGCAGATCTTGGAAATAAAAAAGTTGGGTTTGGGGTTCCCCGATTTGTCACAAAAACCTAAAGCTATCAGGCAGTGAATCACTTTCCGCATAACAACGATAAAGTGACATGACCTGCTTGTTGAACGTGAATAATTCGACTTCTCCCATTGTATGTTCATTGATATTCGAAGGCCACAAAGTGGGAGAGCCTGGAGGAGCTGATAAGAAACCCAAGAAAAGCTGGCACGTGGGAGCCTTAGCTCGTCAAGTTATGAACATCTTTGAATGGAAGGGCCGAGAGCTAAGCCTTACTTTGAGAAATTGCACCACTAGATTTCGTATTCTATCGGCAAGTGCTCTATGTCCGATGACTCCATCAGCAAGTCATCGGCATAGCGAACATAGTGAATCCTCCTAAAATCTCTGGCGAGGCGATGAATGTGAGGGCCGAAGGTGTGTCTCGAAGGCTGCTCTCCGATCACCGCCGGATCTTCACAGTGAGCCTTTTTGTCCGCAATCTACGACGGTTGTCCTCTCTATCGACGACCTTTATCAGCAACGCTTTGCAGTCGCATGGCAAATTTCTCAAGCTCATGAAGTACCACATTGGATAGAAGAGGGCCAAAGGGACGACCAATGTGGCCGTCTTTCGATAAAGCGACCGACGGTATAAGAGGTTGCTTTATCTTAAACAAGTGCTTTCGCACAAGAGTCAAGAATCTATCATCTTGAATCTTCTTATGCAGAAGACTCGTCAATATTTGGTGGTCGATTGTATCGAAGCATTTGGACCTTTGGCCTTCTATGTACCAGATAGCCGCCCCTCAAAAACTTCTGCAAGGAAGATGAGCAATAGCGAACTTCAGAAATCAAACAGCATCATGCACATGAGACCAGATAGCCGTGACCTCGAACCGATAGCAGAATTGCAACACGAGTTTCACCAAATAAGAGCACACCAAAAACTCATAATTGACAATGCTGGAATAGTCTCATCATCATCAACGAAGAACCAATGTTGATATCCTATCCGGCGCTCGGCGCCCAGACTACAGATGGCAGATCCTATCTAGCCTACTCTACAATGCCGCTGATAACGTCAACAGCTCCGCGAAGTACGAGCAGATCTCGGACAATGCTGCACGCTTCAAGCACCAGGTATGTCTCTCGTACCACTCACAACCTCGTTCCCCAACTCACAGATGCCACATGCACCCAAGGACCACCATGCGCCTCATCCAGCATACAGTAGCGCAGCTCGGCTATGGCTGCCTGCTCCTTCCAGCTCGCTCGTGAGCGCGTGAGCCTGGCAAGCAATAGCGCAGCAGCGCTTGCGCACAAAGCAGCCAGTGCCCGACTGTCCATTGCGGAGGCAGGCCCTTCCCTATATCGAAGTGGCCTGCTGCTGTGTGTCGTAGTGAGGTACTAGGCCCTGGCCCAGAAGCTTCCGGTAGGCCCCACGAGGCTGAGCCTCGGTCCGAAGTAAACAGGCCCAGGGCCTATGGCGGTTACCAGCACCCAACTGCCCTCAGCCTTTATTTGTTCCACTTTGTGTATCCGTCCCAGGGCCTGCCTTAGTTACATGCAATGAAAGGCAGCCTGGGCCTGGGCGCTTCCAACCAAGTGGCGCTGCGCAACTACCTGAATTTCTCCAGTTGCGTGGTGACCCCAAGATGGCCTGTAGGGCCTCGGTCGTGCCTGCCTTCAGTTAGGGCGGCCGACAGTGTGAAAATAGGCCCTGTAGGGCATATCGAGGCCCTATCCCTCGCACTTCGGCGTATCTGTTGCATTTAGTTATGTTGTGAATAGCCAGGCTCGCCAGAGTTGGAACATTTCAGGAAGCGTGGTTCACACACTGTTTCTAGAATAAGATGGGGATTCTCCTTCATTAGGGTTTGGTAGGTAGATGGCCACATGATTGATTGAGTTGCTGCCAGGAAAAGGTTAGTGCACCATCTCGGTCTAATGGGCAGTCAATCCCCTCGTCTGAGGGTAATCAATGTTGTCCGCCATCCACAACTTACAACTTGCTCCGCCTTTGTAATTTGGGACGTTGGACCTGGTTTCCAGTTGGTGTTGTGACGAACCACTTTCTGTGCCGCGCGACTTTCTACGCGATGACAATGAGGGGTCCTAAGATGGGAAGGTTGGGCCAATTGCGGGAGATGGGATCCAACGGGAAAATTGCATCGGTGTCCCTGCTTGTTCTTCTTTTTACGTCGCTTCTTTTCGGATGGCTGGGGCCAGGGCTGGGCAAGTCCCGGGATGGTCGATCGAGTGGCTGGCGCGCCGATGAAGGCGCAATTAATAATGGTTGACGTCGCTTCTTTCTTGTTCTGCTGTCGGGATTTCGGCGCGGTGATCGCGCGGGAGTTTTGCTACTTTCTTTGTGAATTTCGTTTTTGAATCTCGTGAAGCCCTTGATGGCTCTCGGAATTTCGGACTTTCTTTTCGGGATTTGTGCTTTATTAAAGTTTTTTTTGCATTTTTGCGTTAAATAGGAATTTAGGAATTCAGAATTTCTTTTGCCGCGCGGTGCTCTTTGCTCGCGCGTTTCTTTTTGCGGCTGCAATGGAGCTCTGATTAGTCGGCGCCCTTAATCTTGCGTGTAACTGTAATTTTGGGCGGGGCGCCCTTGTAACTGTATCTTTCTTCTTGAGCTTCGTCCTTCCCACCCTCTCTCTCTTCTTTGTTGTGTCTAATTGGCCCACGAGCTGCATGATCGGATCGATGTGTGGAGAGGGGCTACGTCCCCCACGCCGCGATCTAGCCATGTAGAACGTAGGCACTCCCTCCCCTTTTCTCCTTCTAAATCCTTGCAATTCCGTGTTCTTCGCGCATGCATGCACGCTATAAATTTCGGCTGCGCGAGTGGATAGCTCTCTTAAACAGTTGCTGGAAGCTCGGGGTAGCGCGATCAGTGAGGGTCGGCTCACGAGCAAAGTAAGAGGTGAGTTGAAGTGGGAGTTGGGCGACCCGACGAGCTGGTGCCGAATGTACGGGGCTACGACAGACTGTAGCGCGCGGGCGAACCCGACGGGTACAGGAGGACCAAGCGGGGTGACAACTTCGTGGGTTGGTGCGTGACGACGGACTGTCCGCATTGGAGAGAGAGAGAGAGAGAGTTGAGATGGATGGGCGTGGAGTTGCAAATTTATTTGCCTTTTCCTTTGCTTTTGTATATAAGTTTTGATTGCGGCTCGGGCAATTCGCCCTTATTTTCTTTCGGCATCTTTGTCTCGATGTTGTCCCTCGTATGGTGTCTCATTCAGTCTCGATCCCTTCTCTTTTGCGTATATGGGATGAACGAAGTCCTGATGGAATGATATGCTTGTCGTTTTTGCCTAATCATCATCGTTGCTTGTCACTTTGATCTGCTACCGTCACGATAAGAGTTTGATGATTGTTACGGTGTCTGATGTGTGTGATGTCATTTTGCATGATCGGAAATGATTGTTTGCCGGATCACGGAATGATTAGATGATTGGGTGGGTGTCTATGCGACGTGGCGATTTTGCATGTGAGATTGAACTCCCACTTTTGCACGAAAATCAGCCAACAGGCCCGTGTACGACCGAACACCTCGTGTGCGCACGTGTAAGCGCGATCTGATCAGCGTGGCCTACACGTGTCCACACACGGGCGATTCACGATCACTGATGAACTTGGCACCTCCAATATCGGGATAAGCGCGAAATTTCCTTTTTGTGAGAATTTGAGCCGGTGGGAATTTCTGCCCCCATACCCGGATATTTCCTTGTCGATCGAAGTACGATCCGATGCGTGCAGAGGGCTCCCACGACGCTGCAGCTAGTGATCCGCCGGAATGACAAGATGTCGTACATCGCGGATCGGGAAGGATTGGGGAACTCAGAGTACCAAGAATATTGGGAGGGAGAACAGCTTAGGCTGAGACATCCGGAATTCCCCTGTCTAACCGAGAACAACAGACTGTGTCCCAGGGACTTCCGCCACGCCATAACCAGAGACCCGAGGGCTCCCGACTACCCAACTACGTATAACACGCAATATTTCATATCCCCCGGCTTCGTCGTTATCGCTACCAATTTCCCTCCCTTCCATCTCCTCCTCCCCTATCACCAACTCACGGTGGTACCGTGGAATTACATAGCCCCGTATTGGCCCTACACGCCGTGTAGAAATTGCAGACGGCGCGGCAACCGCCGAGCCTCCGGAACTACGGAGCTTAACCACAATGCGCGACGTCAACCGCCACATGTCCACACCCGGAGGTCCGACCTATAGAAATTGCAGCCCTCACGAACGGACATCTCCCAAACCGCCGTCACTATAACAGGCGGGTCGGACAGCCCCAGGATGCACCGCGCATGCCATCTGCCTTACGCTGCACGACCTCGACCGCCATCAGACCGAAAGCAACCCGTCCCTTAGCCTCATTGCACCTATCCCCCTGGGACCTCGCCACAGGAGATCTCAGTTCTGACCTGGGACTCCACCCCCAATTTCCCAAAAATCCTTGGCATACCCCTTTCCGCACTTCCAGGCCCACATCCCACTCCGATCAGGAAGTCGAGCCGGGCGTGAGGTTAAGGCGTCACAGTGCAGCTCCCCACCAATAAGATTGGAGCCATCTATAACAGGGAGCCAATAACTGGAGGATGCTCTTATCACCACCAGTAATAGGCATCCCGTGGATGTTTCTGTTAAAAAAAAAAAAAAAAAAGGATGCATTACATGGTAACCGCGGACCCGGACACCGGACACTTCCGGACTGTCTTCCGGACCAGTGTCTGGACCGGTCCGGACTGTCCGGTGATCCGGACATCAGTGGACACCGGACAGTCCGGACCGGTCCCCGGGGTGCAAAAATGTCCGGACCCAAAAAAAAAAAAAAAA